TATTACAGAACAAAAGTTTTGTGTGGAACAGAAAAAAGGTTGTTTTATCAATATTGTTGTGATTTTTATCATATTGCGTATATAAAGTTATAATCTACAACAATTAAATTTTCAGATATTGATATTGTACAGATTTGTTGAACTTCGTGACGGCCACAAAATTTCGAAAATGAATAAGTAAATGATAAAACAATTATTGAACTCGGTTATCGCAAATTAAATATCGTGATTTATCAGTGGCTCGTAGATCAATTATTTGCGTCTGCCTTCGGCATCGGTAAACAATTGATCTGCTGGCCACTGACAAATCACAATAGTTTGCTCAACCTCGTCCAATAATTGTATATTATCTGAGCTTCTTCTTAATAACTTTAAAAAATTCATTAATAATTCACGAGGAAAATACAAAAGAAATGAATGTTTAATCAATGTTTGTAAATCGGATAGAGATTTGTCCTGATTTACATAAACTTTAGCTTTGATTTTCTCGACTTAGACAATGTTTATTTTTAAAATTACTTCGGCATTGAACTCTCGCCTTCGGCTCGAGTTTGTATATCAGATACAGATCGGCTGCTCATGTTTTATCTTGTACATAAAATAATTGATAGAGCTGACAATTTAGCATGGTCACTACTTCTATTCAAAAGTGGACGAAACCTAATCTTGACCATCGAACAAAACCCTAAAAAACTGAATAGTATTAAACCACGAGCAGGAGTGCTTTATCAGATATAAAATACGAGGGTACAGCTCGAGTGTGTTATATCTGAGAAAGCACGGACTACGAAAGTTGTAAATGGCTTAAAAAACGACCTATCTGATAAGTTCATAAACGGAGTTACAATTGTTTTGTATTTTAAGCCTGATTTCCACAAGGCGGAATTTTCCGCGCGGAGCGGAATTTTTCTTTGTCTTGTGATTTCTCAGGTGGAACTAATTAGAAAAGACAAAGAAAATTTCCGCTGCGCGCGCAAAATTCCGCCTAGTGGAAATCAGGCTTTACATCTTATATGAACAGTAAGGATGAACAGCTAGCTGCCTCGTCTAACCTAATGGTTACTGCTGCTAGCTTGCATCTAATTCAGGATCTGAATATTTAATGTGAATAATATAATTAAAATTATGGTGCTCAATAAAAAAATGATTGATTGATTGATTGATTGAACACTTGAAGAACAGCCACAGATGCGAAAATGTGTAGGCACCTTTTCCTTATTTGATACTTTTTATTCTGATAAACCAATCAGATAGCCGGGTTTAACTAGCCTCATGCATATTACACTTGACAGATAATAATTGTATTAATTTTGTATTTGCAAATAAAGATTTCGTCATAATTTTTTCATTTCCAGACAAGGCAACTAATCGAAAAAATGGCTTTTGTTGGACTTGGTGTAACACGAAATGAGGTGGATAGTTTGTACGAGGAGAAATTAGGAGACAGTGAAGAAGTGATAACCGCTTTGGAGCATCGAGCTGCTCAAGAGAACCAGATTTTTCCTTTGAAAGAAAAAGTTGACACGGTTTTATATGAGCTGAAATCTGCAGCTAAGGCTTACGTTGCTTGGGAACCTTCTAAGGTATAGCATAGTTTCTTCTTTAAGACACCAATTAAGTTATTTAGAGTTCCGAAATCAGCTAACTGAGCTTAATGTACACCATGATTATAAACGTGCGAGACCATTTTTGTGTCACTCTAAAATTTGACCGAGTTTTAAAATTGTGATCAAATGAACTACTTGAACTGGATTTAAGCCCATTTCTCATATGTTTTCCTAAATATTCTTGAACTTGTTCCAGCTAGCATTTCCTCGAATTGCTTTGATTTTTGAAATTGTAGGGTCAATTGTCCGGTACCACCCTACCCTCTGTCTTGTACGCGAATGTCAGCGATAAAGATCAGCTATTGGAGAAAAACGATATGAAGGCTCTCGCTATTATAATTTCAACAGCATTTTTAACTGCATCAGTCGAACTACTACTATAGGAAAATGAGCATCTTCCAGACCAGGAAAGCCTCTTGTGATGAACATTCCAAGTTCCTGATCGATTTTGAAAACCATTAAACATGTGTCCAGGTCTGACATGTCATACTTTAATTTAAAAAGAACAATAAAACAGTTTACTCATATTTCTCAACAGATATGTTATGAAGAAACAATAACATACATATGCTGTGATGAAACCAACTCGTTTGCCCTATGGAAAACGAGAATTTGGGAATCGTTAGTTGAGAGAATTGATTTTCTCTATGTTTCGGGAAATCATATAGAACTGCGTGACGAGACTCGTGGCAAGATTTGCGGATCAATAATGATGACAACAGCAGCAATGAAGTATCAGTCAGCATTTTCAACATTTAATCTCCAGGCGGTGAGATCAAGGCCGCAAGAACGGTTGGTGGAGTCTCTCAAGCAAGGCTTGGACATCTGGATGCTGTCAAATCCAAGTAAGGGGAATATATTGCTATTATATATTGCAAAGAAATGCCGCTGTGGGCAATACCACAGCAGTATCTTGTAAGAAACTATGATCAACCTATTCTAACGCGTAGCAATTATACATGTATGGTGAAATATAAATAAAAAGGGTTTTTTGTTTTCTTAAACATTTCTCCCAAAAGGATAAACATTGACACTGACTATAGCATTTACCGACGCGTTACAGTTATCAAAACTCATCAACAGAAGGCATAATAAAAATTGACATCCTTGGGGCAGGCGCGGATGAATTTTGTATGCAATCAATGGGACATCATTGAATAAATTGTTATCAGAGCAAGTGTCGAATCTTCAATATTTTCAACTTTTACAATATATGCCGGATTTTGCTTTTGACTTTTACGGCTTTACTGAAATTGTTCGGCATTTCATGGCTATTTAAGAAATGTCGAGATTTTGTTGACAACTCACTCGATTCAATAATAGTTGAAGGGTCTTGTAGATGGAAATATCGAGATTATTATAGATTTATTAGATTTAGACCTAACGAGGAACAGCTGCGAAAAATGCAACTATAGGGCATGGCAGGAATCGAACCTGAGGCTCTGCGATTCCGGTGCAGAAAGCCTACAATAGCTTTCTCCTGCACGCAGGATTCAGTAATATTTAACAAATATAAAACATTTTCCGTGTTGATATACAGTTATATCAACACGAGTGGAATTGGGAAAACGAGAAATTGTATGGAAACAAGACGCCCGAAGGGCGGAGTGTTTTCACACAATTTCGAGTTTTCCCCACTTCCACGAGTATTGATATAACTATATATCAATACGGAAAAAATGTTTTATATTTTTTTATAATATAGCAATGTCAAAAGCCTGAAGGATAAGAAAAATTTCCGTGTTTACAAGCGGCGGAAAATTTCCCGTGTTGACATTGAGTTATATCAACACGGCTCTTAGCCAATCAGCGTTCAGAATTTACAAATGCTATATTATAATGAATATTAAGAGCACGCTATTCTGGACCAATATTGAAACCATTAATTGCGCTATTCATTCAGTGAAGGCACAGATTCTTTGAACGATGCTGCCGTCTTAGGTTGTGGTGTCCATTGCTCCGTCATAACATTAATAGCATCGTTCAAAGATTCTGAAGTAATTAAGTCTATTAAATTCCGACAATACTGTAATCAGTCAATTTCTCTAATCCACATCTAGGTTCCTCAAAACTGGTGAAAAGTACTCTATGGTTAGATTCCGAAGAAACAGTATTTAGTTTTGAATATGAATCGCTTGTACGTCGAAATACACACAAGATTTTTGTCAAAGGTAAAGGAGTACGAATAAATTTCAGTAACCATTGGGCAGCTAGTAAGCTTATCTAGGGGGCTTATTTTATTGTATGTCCTCCGGGTTAATCTGGATTAATCAACTCAGTTGACCTCATTTATTTACTTTGCTTACAAAATTTAAAAAATAACCATAGGCGTACGAATGCTTTCCGGGGAGGCAGTTGAAAGTTTGCCCGAGGAATTTTTTGGAAGATTGAAATGAAATAACTCGAATTTAACATAATTACTGATAAATCTGCCCAACATTTCCCAGCATTTCCCAAATCCCCATGGGTTTCCAAAGTATTTGGGCGGGGGCAGGTGATCCCCTTGCCCCTCCCCTGTCTCGTACACCTTTGAAAATACCTCATTCGTATGCTAACAGTTTCACAATAAATCCAGGGGCGCAGCTTGAGTCGAACTATTAGAGGTGCGTCGGTTCGTTTTGCCGGCGAAAACAAAAACATTTACGAGGATCGCCTGGGGTAGAACGGTTGGCACAAGTATCGTGTGCGCAAGACCCATAGATGGTATTAGGAGAGCATGCCTCCAGAAAGGTTTCATGAAATTTGGGGTCGCACAGAATTCTGATGGTCATAAAATGATGTATATTATACTTGGAAATCAGTTTTAAATTTCCTGATTTAGTTTTGCCCCCCGCAGTGAAAATTCCTTAAAAAAAGCACTGCTTTATGTCGAAGTTTAAGTGAGAATTATAGAAGTTTTAAACCTTTTATTGAGTGATTCAAACTATTTACAACACGTAGCACCTCCACAAGAGTTGCCTACAATGACTGGCAGGAAAGTAAACAAGATACATGAATTTATTAAGAACCTGAGTTACAATCGTTAGAAACATTGGGTAAACTATCCCAGAGTTTGTCAGGTTGGATGGCAAGATTAGGGATTTGCTGATTTATTGAAAGCTCTAGAATACACGCGGTAGAAAGTTCAACCGAACATAACCCTAGTCCCCCATACAACCGCAACTACTCGTTCTTCCTCAACACCAAAGGATTCCTCAACACCAAAGGGTTGCGTTTACTGTGATGATGAACAGCACAAGTCGTATGAATGTAAGACGGTTGCTACACCAACTGAGCGTAAACGAAAGTTACAAGCAAAGAAGTTATGTTTTAATTGTACGGGTGGCAGACACCATGCAGCACAGTCTCGTTTGACGAAGTCGACTTACCTGTTTTCACTGCAAGAAAAAAACATATCATCATTCGTCAATTTGTGACACTTTAGAGAAACCTCCACCCAACCAAATTCCAGGACAAGCAGCTATGACAGCAACACACGAAGAGCAAAAGGTTCGTCACCCCATTGTTATTGTCAAAGCAAATGGCATTACCTGTAGAGCACTATTGGACACTGGAGCTACGACATAATCTACAATCTTGAAGTTTGCAACACAGAAGGAAACTTTGTTATCCCAGTGAATGTAACAAAGGTTGACCGCAGAGATCTCTTGTCAGTTGTGAATCCAAATTACCCAGAGTTTATTAGTCGGTTCCAACACCTACAAGGCGTGAGTATGGTGGAAACGGATACCAAATCAGTCCTTCCAGTGCACCTCGTATTGGGGGCAGCAGAATGGGGAACCATTCTTTTGTTTGATTTCTTAGGTCTGACTCTTCCCAAGACTTGTCAATGGGACAACCATGGATGACAAACCCATCATTTTCAAGTTGACATCTTGTTTGATGTGTTGGTACTGTACGAGTGGTAGAGGTAGGGAGTAGGATGAGATCTTTGTGCACAATATTGCATTTCCTTGCCTTTTTTCCTGGTGGTTTTTTGACCGACTTGGATGAACTTTTTGATGCAAGGGTTGGAAAAGACCTTCGAAGAGCTGCAGGTACATCCTCACTTCGTCTTTGACCACATGATATGCTAATGTTGTTACCTACAATGACTGGCAGGAAAGTAAACAAGATACATGATTTATACATTATTAAGGTCAAGTGTTACCCTCTTGAAATAAAGTCTCTAATCTAATCTAATCTAATCTAAACGATGGATTATTACTAGATCTGTTTATTAATACAGATGAAATGCTTGGAGGTGACAGACTTGACGAAAAATCAGGTCGATTTCTCGATTGATGATGTGTTGTATTACTCGCATTTGTACTTACGGCCGTCACACTTATTTCTCTGTCGTCTTCTCGTTCAGGTTGCGTTGTTGTTGGTGTCCATTGCATCAACTGCCTCTCGATCGCCAAACTATTTCGATCGTCGAAATTGTCCAATAAGTTCCTAGCTTCATGAGCAATATTACAAAGCGCAGTTCGAAGGTTTCCACTTATTTGCCGATTTTCAGCCATTCTTTTGATTTGCGATTTCAAAAGTTCTGTAAAATGATAATTACCTGTATCACAGAAGTTACTATCGCAAGGAAAATGTGGCCTCAACCCGCCTTCCATCACACAAGCATGTAAAGCACCCCCAAGACACCTGTTCAGGAGGTAGGAAAACAGACCTGTCAAGTTTTGAAAAATTTTATGCCGGAAGGTAATTTCCTTAGGTTAATGTCCACGAGGCTCCGGGATCCACCATAGTTGGCGCGCCCTGGGGGTAATTTTGAAATTTCAGTTAACCAGATCGCCTGAAAATTGCCTTTCCGAGGTTTTCCTTCCTCCTTTTTGGAAGCACAAACCTTATCAACCTCGTTCCCAGGGTATTCGCTGGGAACGAGGTTGAAACCTTATGTGTTCATGCTATAAAAATATGAAATGTTAGCGTCACTCCTCCTTCCTAAATGGCAAAAATAGCGCTCCTCAGGCTCAGGAGTCTCCCAGCTTTTTGTCTCTTTTTTATATGCGATTGAGACACGCATTTTCAAGACTTCTCAAGACTTCTGGGCATTGGCGTTGGCAAAAAGAATATGCATTGAACATTTGAATATTCTGCAAATGAAAAGAAATGGGAGTAATTGCCCCACAGGAAGAAACTTCGACAAGTTAAATTTAAAAATGCGGGAAAAAGTCACTTCATGCGTGATGCGTGAAAGCAAACAAAAATGCTGGAATTTCACGGTAATTGCACAAAGTTAAAGGTCAGCTAAACTTCTAATACTATTGACTTCCACAAATTCCTTACTCTTCAAGAAATTACTTCCTTGAAAATTCCTTCATTCTAAACAAAGACAATGCTATGCAAGTTTTTAATGACTTGCATTATTCAAATAGATGCAGGTTTATTAGCATAGCATGACCAGTTGTCATGGCTAGCTTGCCACTGAATACTGTAGAACTGTACAATATCGTGTATAACAAACAATAATAATACTTGAATGAATCATTGGATATCTAGAATGTAATAACAATTTCATACATAGAAATACTACCAGTAACGGCCTGTTCAAGTTATCCCGGTTAGCGAGAAAACTTTTCGACAAGTTTACAAGCGAGATCTCGCCTTGGTATGAAAATAGTATGAAAAGTTACACTGCGTTCACTGAAAGAATGCAAGCCAAAAAATGCAAGCAGCAAGGTGAGAAAAGTTCGGGGAAGCCAAAACGGTGATTTCATTGACATAAAAAATGACCTGGTTTGTAAGTCGAGGGACCGACTTAAGCCAAAGTCAGCCATATGTTTCCTGCCGGTTTCGTTAGATCCCAGTTAGCGATATTCTTGTTGTGCAAGTATTTCAAACCTGCGACAACATCTTTGGCACATGTTGGCAGCAAGTTTGCGAAGGAGTCAAAGTCGTCGTCTACGAAATGGACAAAATTTTCTAGAGTGCAAAGACTTTTTGCAACTCCAAACGGGCGAAAATCGAAGCAAGAATACTCCATCATTATTGAAAATTCAAGGAACCGAATTATGTTCCTGTGGCCTTTTGTACTGTTCAACAGTGCGGCTTCTTTCTCGAAACAGGATTTCGAGTCAATGGACTCGACATTATTGTTTTTGGCACTTTTTCTGGTCTTTCCTTTGTATTTTGCTAGGTATACGGACCCAAACGTACCGCAACCCAACTTATTTTCTTTTTCGAAAAGTTTCCACTCAAACTTTGGCAACTCTGGATCCTTTTTTGCCTTACTTTTCAGACTTGTTGGGATTTTAAGGCTCGCTGCCATTTTGTTCCATTTTGGTCAAATTTTGGCGCGAAATTGTGGTCCAGTCCGAGTTTTACTAATAGAGTCCAGTCCGCGTTTTACTAATAGAGTCCAGTCCGCGTTTTACTAATAGAGTCAACAGGTGGGCAATTTGTCGACGCTGACCAAAAATAGCGGCTCATTTCTTCTTGAGTTGCCATTTTCGCGTCGAAGAGCAAAAATATAGACTTTCGGAGAATATTTTAGCTGTTTACTATCAAATATGTTTGTGAAACAGTTGATAATCTTACTGAGGAAGGTCAACGGTTTTTGAAAAGCTAAAGTGCGTCGAAATCAGCTTTGGAATAGACTATATTCTCACCGGGGAAACATGAACTAAATGGATATTTACATCAACACTAAATTTTTCTCGTGCCTACGGAGCTAGTTGTGTTAAAACAGATGTTTAGAAGTAAGTGAAAATGTGAACTTTGTGAATTATACTTTCATTAAAATGTTTCAGAAGGTCTGCTAATGCCAAATGACACGTGTGACAGAGCTGTCAATATACCCATATTTCAATGTTTATGTTGAAATGACCCATCTTCTTTGAGGTATAGCTTATTAAAAATTAGGGTATGCTCATCACTTGAAACTAGCTTTAAAACAAAGCGGTTTTATCTATAGTCTTTTTATTAGAATTAAAATCATTCATGGGGAAAATGTACCAAAGGGTTGAAATTGCCCTTGTAAATATATACACTATTTTTGACATGTTTATGCACCAGTCAAAGTAAATCCCCGCCTACCCCAGGCCGGGGACTACGGGGGAATTGCGAAGGCATTTTCTGGTTTTAGCGAAATTAAACGTCACTGGGGTACGGGGTGAAACGCTGTTTTTACTTGCTCCGCCTGTGTGACCGGGGCGCTCGATCTCAATTGAAAGGACTGGGAACTAATTCATTTTACTTTTCCAAGATGGCGGTTTCAACAGGTTGCCAGGTGAGAATTAAATGCCATTTTAAATTAATCATCCTGGTTATGTAACTTTGTAAGAACAAAGCTAAAAAAAATTTATTTGGTAAAGTTTTTATATATACATAGAATTGTCTGATTTTCTTTATTTGAACAAAATGCAGTATTAAATTAAAACATGTTTAACAAAAAACTTCAGTGTGCTTCAGAGTTCTTCCCAATAGCTTCAGTGTGTTTCAAGAGTTCTCAACAGCATGAGCGGGGGATTTTCCTTCAAAAGGTCCCGGGGGGGCGAGGTCTGCCACACTTTTCGCCAGTTTCTTAATCCAAGTCCCCGGTAATCCCCGGCCTGGGGTAGGCGGGGACTTACTTTGACTGGTGCATTAGGTTAGTATTTTGAAAAGGTGTTCTGGAAGGAAAATATGTCTTGAACAATACTGGTTGACCCTTAAATTATAACTAGTGTTATGTAAATCACAGAAAATTGAAAAAAGTCTGGTCCATACACAATAGTTTGGATTCTATGAGGTCCCGAATGTGGCTTATTTCAATGTTTAATCTGTTTACATGGAAAAACATAGAAAATTTAATAAGTCAAGAATTTGACTATGCTCATCACCCAAAACCAGGTTTTTCTAATTGCTTTTATGGCTTTTTCACCTGGGTTTGTGGCAATACCAGTTATGTGACCATGAAAAATGCGCGCGGCACTTTTTTTGGACACTGAAGATGGAGTAATGTCCAATACAGGCATCTGATGTCTGATGGTGAAGATGGTGTACGGTGGTGTATGATGGTTGAAGTGTGTCAGATGGTTGTCAGATGGTGTATGATGGTGTATGATGGTCGAAGTGTGTCAGATGGTTGTCAGATGGTGTATGATGGTGTATGATGGTCGAAGTGTGTCAGATGGTTGTCGGATGGTGTATGATGGTGTAGGGTGGTTATACAGGAAAGGGTTGTCAGATGGTGAAGATGGTACAGATGGTGTATGATGGTCGAAGTATGTCAGATGGTTGTCAGATGGTGTATGATGGTGTATGATGGTCGAAGTGTGTCAGATGGTGTATGATGGTGTATGATGGTCGAAGTGTGTCAGATGGTTGTCAGATGGTGTATGATGGTGTATGATGGTCGAAGTGTGTCAGATGGTTGTCAGATGGTGTATGATGGTGTATGATGGTCGAAGTGCGTCAGATGGTTGTCGGATGGTGTATGATGGT